CTCTCTCTCTCTCTCTCTCTCTCTCTCCCTCCCTCCCTCCCTCCCTCTCTCTCAGGTCATCTAGAAAATAGCTTAAAAGAGCTGCTTGTTCCCCCACACCTTGGAGAGAGGGTGATTGTGGAAGCACCCATGCATTATGATTGGTTTATTGTTGACATTCTGTTCTTCCGATTGTTTTTTTTAAACATATACTGTCTTTTTATTTGTAACCCACCCAGAGGCAGACTTTGAAACCAAAAACCAGAAAACTACAAACTGCCAGAAAGAATATAGCATATGAGACCAAAATATACATAGCAGCAATACATGAACAGTATCTTGCACTTTACATACATTATTTGGCTCAATATAGTGAGTCATTCTCCGTATTTGCTCAATACTTTCCTCATCTACTCTACACTTTTGGAGCCGAATTTGATGCAGACAGCTGTAGTGGGCCTCCTAAGAGACAAGTGGTATGATTCGTGCCATGATGCCATCATGCCGATTGCATTAATTATGCAAGTAGTATCATTTGCATGATGACATCATGGCAAGTGGCATGGCATCATGGTGGCTTCTGCCAGAGATCCACAGCAATGATTGGCTTTGGCCATGATCAAGTCCTAAATCATATGTGTGGCTTTGGCTAAGCATCTTATGTGAGCCCAGCCACTGTCATCTAAAAACCAAACTTTAGGACTTAAGTCTGCTGTGTGAAACAAGATAATTATGGCTCATGCATTTAACCAATGAAGCAACTAGAAGCTTTCCATAATGCATGAATCCCATTCATGCCCAATGTGAGATCTAAATGAAGGACTAAGTCAATCTCTTTGCACGACTTCACTCTGGGAATTTCCTTTTTCTTTAGCAAGCTTTAGTTGCTGGGTTCCTAAAATGCTGCCCTAATTTACCATCCCTATTAGCAGCAATAGCACTTAGACTTATATACCGCTTCACACTGCTTTACAGCCCTCTCTAAGTGGTCAGCTTATTGCCCCCAACAATCTGGCTCCTCATTTTACTGAGCTCAGAAGGATGGAAAGCTGAGTCAACCTTCAGCCAGTGAGAATCGAACTGCTGGCAGTCGGCAGGATTAGCCTGCAGTACTGCATTCTAACCACTGCACCACCTTACTTGACTTGAAGATAATGAAACAAGCATAATGCACAGATCATAAATTAAGCCAAGTTAGATTAGTAGCACGGCTCAGTAACTGGGGTGTTAAGTAGATGGCCTCTTCCCTAATCAAACTTATAGTATAGGCAGCATTAAATTTGGGGTCAGTGAATTCAAACCACTATCATTGTACTAAGATGACCTTGAGTTTACAAAACCATTAAAATCTTTGAAAAACCATTTGCATCCACAGGGAAATCCTTTCCATATTTTAGAACTCGATTTTCTCCATCCCAATGTCCTCCAGAAGAGATGGATTACAACATCAAAAATTTCTACCCCAAAACAGCGGAGGATTATTCTGGTTGAAAATGATGGCGATTGCAATCCAGCACAACTAGAGGTTGCTGGATTATCCAGAGAGCCAAAAAATTTGGGCCATCACTGCTTGCTAAGAACAATGCACTTATCCACATTTTTTTTAGATGTTTTAGTCAATCTCAGATCCAGAGTGTTCCATGGGTTTTTTCCCCCCCGAAAGGCTGGACACAAGAAGTAAGAAGCCAATAAGTTCAACTGCTCCACAAGTTCAACGTTTTACAATAAGTGCAATTTTAATTTGCCATTAAATCCCCATTTCAGGCTTACATAAGCTCACCCATGTTACCAGAACATCGGTTCATCACTGGAAATGTCACCACAATAAATACGTATAAGAATAGCTGAAGATAAGCAATAAGAGAAGACAAATATTGCTTTTGGAAGATAATCTCTGGAGTCAGTCTTAAAAAACAGTCGTGGGAAGAATCTTGCTAGCTAGGAAAGACACAACATGGTTTAGGCCCTTCACCAAGCTTGTGGTAGCATTGATGACCAATATGAATAGGCCTCCAATGCCTGAAGCGATATCTTTGAGCACACCAGGAATGGCACCCAGGGTGTAAAAAGGGAAAGACACAATATCCAGGATCAGGTTAACGGGGACGCTAAGAATCCTGTAGGTCACCATCAGGACATTGTAGATGTTTTTCGCAATGCCATTCAAGATGCTGACACCCACTCGGCCCAGGCAGATAAAGATATCCAGAAGAGCCAGGCTTATCCCTTTGATGAAGGTCCACACAGCACACAAAATCTTCTGGACAATCCACCTCAGCAAACACCACACGCCTTTCACAAGTTGGCAAATCAGATAGCAAACAAATTTAACCAGTTTCCAGATGGGGGTAACAATGAAGTGGCAAAGGTTTTTCAGGAAGCCGCTCTCCTCCTTGGCGGTCTGAGTGTGCTTGCTCTGAGTGGGCTTTTTCACGCGTGGTTTGTCCGGTTTCTTCGCCTGGACATCCTTCGCCGAGCGCAACACTGCCTCCAGCTTCTTAGGATCCTGCCTGTCTTGGCCACAGTGGTCCTTGAAGAGCTCAGCTCCAGCAGGAAGCTTCTTCTCAAGAGCTTCTAACGTGAGGTCTTCCAGGCGACTCTCCGCATTGGCCTCTTTGATAAATCCCACCGACCAGGTCTCGGCACCATTGTCACAGCAAGCTGCCAGCCAGACGGATTTGGGGACCGCCATTTTGTCCTTTACTTTGAGAGAGGAAGGTATTGCTCCGGAGAGGAGATGGAGATCTTTCCCATTTTCACAGTTGGGAGCCAAACTGTGGGTGACCAGCTGCTCAACCTCCCAGTGCCAAAGTTCCTGGAAAGGAGGGGAGAGTGGCACTGCATTGGTCAGTGTGTGGGTGGCAACGTGATGGTCATCCTTATGAAGGTAGCTGGGGTTCAGGTTCCCCCTCTCGTAGCCAGAGTCTACATAGTCTGCCATGAGGGCCTGGTTTCTCCCCAGATGTTCCAATGCCTCTGCAATCTCAGCTTCGGGCATCATTTCTTCCTGTTTGTTTCCAGGGTCATCAATCTGAAAAAGAGAGAAGAGAAACTGCTGAATTCATAATCCATATTTGCCGTCTGAGTCATTTCCTGCAAACTGCGAATTCCATCCATCCCCCACCCCCCAAATAAATGGTTGGAAAGAACATTTTGGAAATCTGCAACGATGATGTTAGCTAGGTGGGTAATGAAACATCTGAGAGCCAGTTTGTTTGGGTGATTAAGGCACCAGGCTACAAACCAGGATGTCAGGCCTGCAATTATATTCCTTATAGAATTTTGGCCTGCCACACTTTCTCTTGTTTCATTAGTATAGTTGATGGGAGGGGGGAATAGACAGGAGTAGGATTGTGGATTGTGTTATTGTCATTCTTTCCTAGAAGACCAAAGTCATCTTTTGCCTCCACACTTTTATACCTTACTGGAAGCAGCTGGGTGTGGATGCCAGCGTGGAAGAAGAAGATTGGACAACGGAGCACGGAGA